CTGGTGGTCCTCGGGGCCGAAGGGAGTCTTGGACTCGACGTCCACCAGCCCTGAACGGATCTCCGATCGGAGCTTCGGAGGATCTTTGGACGCCAAAGATCGGACACGGGTTGTTTTTTTTCCCTAGCTGCGGTTGGGCCACGGGTTGGTTTTCCCCTCGCTGCGGTTGGGGTTGGTGGAAAAGCCAAGGACATTCTTGGGGTTGGCGTCTTGGGGTTGGTTTTTCCTGGCTGGGGTTGGGGTTGGTGAAAAAGCCAAGGACATTCTTGGGCTTGGGGGTCTTGGGGTTGGTTTTTCCTGGAGCAGTCTTGGGGTTGGGTTGAAAAAGCTGGGACATGGTTGGGGTTGCTTAGAATTGTGTTTTTCCTAGCTGGGACAGTCTTGGGGTGGGGTTGCTCTTAGAACTGTTGGATCCTACAATTGATCTTACCCCTCATGGGATTGATCTTACAACTTCGCTGTCATGAGATCGGGTTGCTCTTACAACTGTTGGGATTGGATTGATTGGATTGGGCAGCTATTCGATTGGGATCTTACAATTCACTTGATCTTAGCTCAGGCACCATCCAGCCCAAAGACAGGCCAAGGTTCGTCTCATGCAGTGCAAGCCAGCACAAGGGACTTTGATGTATGGAACTGTTCAGATTGGAAAGCACTGAGTGCCGAGGCGAGAATTTGCAATACATACAAGACTTGATTCGGTTTTGCACTGCCACGATGTTGCAAATAACATAATGCCCGTGACTCGAAATCAGCCCTGCAAAGTGCTAGAAATATAAAATCACCTCAACTGTCAAAGAACAAAGTCTCCCGAATGTAATGCAATGATTGGTATATCGATTAAACAAAACCTTTGGTTTCCCTTTAACCTCGCCCCGCAAACACGGCGAAGCTAATAAGCGCCGTTTCAATGGCTTCCTCCAGCCTCCGCGCCTGCATCCTCCAGCGGCACCTTGGTGAGCGCCGCCACCTCCCGCCGCAGCTCCAGGACCGTCCTGAGGTCCGGGGTGGGCTCCGCTTAGGGGAGGGAGGGAGGGGCGGAGATGGTGGTGGAGGGGGGAGGGAGTCCAAGTGGGGTAGAGTCTTTCCATTTAGGGGTTTCCCACAAGTTCCTTCCTGGAGCTTCCCGTTGCGGGGTGGGCTCCAGAGTCTACAAGAACCAGACCAATTGAGGGATACCTGACTCTGGGTTGGTCTTTGACACAACAGAAGCCCTACTAACGGGGGAAACAAACATGCTCCAAAACAGTAGGTTGAAGATTGCGGAGGCCAACATCTGGCCAATCCACTGGATCAATGGTCTAAGATCTCTGATTCTGCATTTCTTGCGATTTGGGATTGCTCGTCTCCAATGTTTGAACTTGGACAACATGTGGGTTGCCCTCCCTTCTCAAGTACCACTATTGCGATGAAACAGGGGAGCGCACCCTTCAACTACACTGGCTTTCGGAAAGATATGAAGACAACTAGAGGGACAGAAAAACACCAGCTGCTCCATGGGATTCTTGCGAGCATTTCCGTTCTCATTTTCCTTCCGAAGGGTGAGCAAGTCGCCAAGTCCACCAACCCCCCGATCACATGGTGAGTCGGCGAGTCGGCAAGGCGGCCAGCATGTTGCGAAGCAGTGGCTTCGAAACGCCCACCCGAAGCCTGAACCTTCCGCTCCTACACAAAGTCAGCTCATTCGCCCAATACATGTCTCCTGTTGCCACTCAGAACTGTCACCGCATCACCGATCCAAAAAACCTTTGCACGAGTCTAAGATACAGGTTCACGCTCCTGAAATCAAGCGTCAGAGGCTTGTCTCTTTCTACTTCAAGCGAGGTCACCATGCTTTCCACAGATCCCCCCCCTTCCACCTGCACCAGCCCAAAACATGTGCTCATTCTGTGTTTCTGGTTTAAAGGAGAACCAAAAGGAAACCACCCATTTTGGGCTTTAAATCCAAATTTTCAGCTGGAGCTCAATTTAACCCCGACCGCTTGCCGTACAGCGGCCGGCGCACGTCGAAGTCCAACTCCGCCACTGGGGCCCCACCCAGGTTGGTCACCAGGAAGCGGCAGGTGCCCCTCGAGAGTGGGTTTTTCATCCCAACACTTTTAAGTGTTGGTCCTAACATGGTAAAGATCTGGTAGAACGACTAGATCATAGACAAAAGGTTTAACTCCCAAGCCAAGTAGAACCACCTTTAATTAAAACAAGAAAGAAAGATGGCAACTTCGGGGTGCGGCTCGGTACCCTGTTCAAGTTTGAAGGGACACCACATGCAAAGCCCGCTCTTTCTTTTTGTTTCCTTGTTTGTTGTCTTTTATTTATCCTTTTTTGGGGGGTCCCAGCATTCGCACCAGGCCTTTGTACGTTTGCCAGCCTAGAACCCGAGCTTCTTGGCCGGGAGAACTCGCGATTAGAACGCCTTTGGGCCGCAAAACTGGAGCAAACCACCCGTGGTCAATGAGTAATTGCTTGCCACTCTGTTCGTTTAGGGGAACCAACAGAAAGCCCAGCATTTTGGGCAGCCCCAATTCCCCTTTTCAGACCAAGTCCTTTCCTTCCTTCGGACCCTTCAAAACCATCCAAAACCAAAATGGGTAGCTAGGCCACGCGGGGGCACCTTTTAACCAGCTGGACCATTCTGACCTGCCAACTCAAGAGACACTCGAGTCTCGACATGGTCAACCCTTGGCCTTGCTTTCGGTTTCTTTTCAGACCCAGCACCTTTTTGCCTCACTTCCCAAGCGAATCAGCCAGCAAAAGTCCTCACTCGTTCCATATTTACCACCAAAATGCTCCAGACCCGGACCCGAAAACAAGTGGATAAAGTGGTCCCTCCACCCAAAAAAGTGGATTGTTTGTATTTATCTATTATTATTATTATTATTATTATTATTATTATTATTATTATTATTATTATTATTATTATTATTATTATTATTATTATTATTATTATTATTATTATTATTATTATTATTATTATTATTATTATTATTATCATTATTATTATTATTATTATTATTATTATTATTATTATTATTATTATTATTATTATTATTATTATTATTATTATTATTATTATTATTATTATTATTATTATTATTAATGATTATTATTATTAAATAAGAAAATAAAAAACATGAGCAACCCAGAGACCCAGTCCCCACCCCACCCCACCCCCCAGCCCAGTCGCCTGAAGGGCTGGGCCAAGGCCTCGAGCTGCGCCAGAAGCTCAGGTCCCGGCGCCTCCGCCTGCGCGAAGGTTTGGCGGTGAGATGGTCGTTGCGTGGGTTTTCTGTGGGAGCGAAAGGCGCAAAGGAAGTGGTGAGATGGTGTGGGTTTCGTGATTTATGTTTTGTGCTGTTGTTGTTTTTTCTGTGGGCAAAAGAAAATGAGACTGTGTGGTTGTTTCTTTTTCTGTGTTTTTTCTGTGGTTTTCTCTGTGGTTCGTCAAATTTGAGTGTCTCTGACAATGAGAAAATAAAACCACGCCCCCCCCCCCCATGTTTGGGTGGCTAGTCTCAAAATGGGACCCCCCCCCCCCATTTAAAAGAACATGGATGGCTTGTCTCAAAATGAGGAGACCCCCCAAACAAAAAAAATGGGCGGCTTTGCCTTTCACTTGCCCAGTTTGAGCCTGCCTTTCGGAACAAGCTATGAGCTTCGTCAAACAGTGATGAGACAACAGATCCAACCTCTGGAGAAGGAGTCCCAATTGGCAAGTGAGAATGACCCGCTTCAAACAAATAGGGCAGGTGATTGACCACCTTCAAACGGTTGCCTTTGTGAAGAGCGCCCTCAACACAAGGCTTCGCAAACATGTTTGGAGATTGGCCTGATCTGTGGGGAGAGAGGTCATGGATGCAAATCCAAGAAAAACAACCAAAAGCAGGAGGGTGAAGAGGCAAATGCTAGGTGACTAAAACAATGAATGAGAGTGACAGGACTCGGCAAGAATTGCGAGTGTTGCTCACTGCTTAGGGTTGCCAGGTTCTAAGCATTCTCCCACCCACTGCACCGACACTCTCGGAAAAGAGAGACCAAAAGACCGACTTCCTTGTTGAAAGGGGCCTTCCATCAGGGCCCTTGGAAAGAAGAAAAAAAAGAGAGGGAGAAACCCCACCGAAAAAGGCGCCCCCTTTTCAGTTGTTTTCTCCTCCCAAGCTGGCCGGCCTTTGCGCTCATTTTGCGGGTGCCCTAAAATGTATACTTTAGGGGACCCCCAAAAAGCCGGAGCTTGCGGCCTCTTGTAACTGGCCGGCCTTTCCAGCGCCCCCAAGACTTGGCGCCCCCAAGGGGCGCAACTGGCTCGCTCGACCCTGCCTGGCCATAACTCCTGGCGTCCGAAAGCGCCGCCAAGGCCGCGTCGAAGCGGCGCCAGGCCGCCTCGGCCTGTGCCGATTTCCCTGTGCCGATCCAAGTGAGGGTTTTGCGTCCAAACATGTACGGTCCGTCAGTGTGTTAAGAAACTTTCTGAAGCAAAAGATTCGCCCTTCAACTGGTCCAGACATAAATTACTTGAGACCCTCACATGATCCAAAAATTAAAAAAAATGCTCCCAAAAAAAAAAGGAAGAAAAAAAAAACTCCCCAGACTTGCCCTCCTCTCTCTCCACCGGCCCCGGGCCTCCAAAGCCTCCGGCTCCGAAGCCTCCATCCGGCCGGTCAGCTGGGCAGCGCGGCTTCGAGGGGCAAAGAGAACTTCCGGTAGGCTGAAGTCTGAGCTTTGGCTCGGAAAGAAAGCTTAGCTTTGGCTTTGGCTTTGGCTTTGGCTTGGCTTTGGCTTCGGAAGAAAGCGCAGGGGAAAGGCCTCGGAACTCTCGGAGTGTGGTGAGGGAAGTTTGGAAGAAGCTTGGAGTTCTTGAAAGTGGCGGAATTTTGTGGGGACTCTGCCACAAGTCTGGGGCAGTTTTTTCCGGGCGATCTGGGAGTTCGGGGAGCTTGCCCTGTGCTTGGCCTTGGGTTTGCAGAACTTCAGGACTCGGAACAGGTTCGGAGGCGAGCAAAGCTAGCAGCGGATTCTTTGGCAAGTTTGGCTTCGGCTGCAGTGAGCTGTGTACCAGGTCCATTCTTTCCCGCGCGGCTTGACCCAAAAACCCGCAAAACGGCCGCTGATGGCGGAGGGCGTCCGATCAAGCGGAAGCTCATTGGAGATGCCCGCTACTTGCTTTGGATTGGGTGGCTTCCCATCCATCCCAGAACCAGGGCTTCAAATCCCCAAATGAGCCGAAGCTCATCGGAGATGCTCTCTTTGACTTCCTGGTGGCCCTCAAATTTACCGTGGGGTTTTTCTGCCCGCCAAACCAGTTTCCAGGGGCCAGATCCATCACTCCAGCCTCGACTGGTCCATTCGACACAAGCCTTTGAAAACCCACCGCGCTGGGGCGCCACGGCTTGCACAAGACCCAACGCCGCAGCTTTCCACGAGCAATCCACTGGTGAAACTTGGATCGTCCTGCAGCCCGCAAGGCCAGCGAAGCAACGCTGAAGTGGTGAAGCGCATGCGGATCCAAAAGAGGCCGAGACAAAACTCGGAGAATATATGGATCCTTCCTAAACAGCTGCCCAGCCAACCTCCTCCTTGCAGGCCTTCCTCCTTGGGAAACTCACCATGTCATGTGACCTTCCTGAACAAAAACCACTGCTCCCTGAGACGTGTGAATCAGAATGGCTTGGTCACGGACGCGTTGCCCAAGGCTCCGGTTTAATCTACAAGTGTGCCCTTCGGCTGCCTTGCCACCAGCCGCCCTCACAGAGCACAATCTGAAACAGAAGGCCTGGCAGCCTCCAAACGGCCCACTTTGAGCGCTTGAGCTGGCTACCCCCACTGCCCCGCCATGGCCGCGTGCTCCGTGGCTGAGAGCTCGTTCAACCTGCAACATGCAACCAATTTACAACCTCAGCGCCGTCACACCTGGCACCGGCCTAGGCTTGTCTTGAGACCGGCATTTACTGGAAAGCCTGGTTCGTTTTTCAGTTTCACAGCGCCACTCTTGAGAATTCATGCCCTTCCAAATTGATCCGTTTGTAGCATCTAACTTGAAATGAGTCATCTTGATTTCAACCCGGCGAGACTGCGACATATCGTGGTGTGCCAGGGACTGCTGTTGATGTCCTTGCGTCCCCTTGAAACCACGGGAGCAAAACAGAGTTACCCATGAGAGTATTCAGGCCACCAACCCTGCTCCTTTGTACTCGCGCAAGGTTTCAGTCTGGCGTTCCCATCTGACACTGCTTACCTACCGCAACTTGCGATGCATCCACCGGCCAGCCGCGAAAGAAAAGAAAAAAAGCGTCCCTCTGCGCATTGCGCAATGTCAATGTGGGCGCCAAAAAAAACAAAGCCATGGCCCCTTGTTGGGCGCACAGGCACCAGGAGCTGCCTGAACCCCACCCTATCTGCCGAGGAATGCCATTAACTCCTACCAGCCATGTTTGTCGAACATGGAGCTTGGAAACCATAGGCTGTTTGACCAACAAACACGCTGGATAGCATTTTTCGGAAAGAAAAGTCAGTTCGCCGGAGGAACCTCTGTGTGCGCAAGCTCGAGAACCAGCCCGGGGCCCCACAGCGCCTGCTCCGCTGACTTGTCTTGCCATGCTGCGCGACACCATGGATCATGAAGCACACGGGCACCCTGAGCAACCAGATCGTTTGGGTGGCTTACTCTGTTTGTGTCAAAGCGAGAAGGAAGCATCTCGGGAGGTTTTATGGGGAAGCCAAAAAAAAGACAACCATTTCTGAACCCCCTATTTGACACATACCCATCTCTCATGGGCCGGTTACCACTTTGTTTGTTGCGACCAGCATGTCTGACGCTTTCCTCCGGTCCTTTCCCGTGGCTTCTGTATGCTCTTCAGGTTGTAAGAAGCTTGTGGCGGCGTTGGACAAAACAACTGTCGGAGCACAAAGCAAAACAAGCAGCTTGTTTTGCGAGAAACTGGGCAATCTGAGGCCAATTTAATACAGACAAAGCGGACCCAAGACAGTTTGAAGAATGACCCGCCCGAGGTGACGTCAGCATATGTTTCATAGCTATAGCCGTGAGAAGAAAAAAGTCGGTTTCGCACCGCTCTTGTGTCATGTTTCGAACTCATGCTCAAGATCACTGCCACAGGCTCCCACTATTGCCGCATGTTTGCCAAACCCCATCCCTACACTGAGGCCACTTTGGCTCAACCGGCAAGCATGGCGTGGAATGGACACTCAGAATGTACCTTCCATTGTGAACTCAGGCGGGGCAGTAGTGGAAAATAACACAAAATTTACCCCCGCAACAACATGGTTTCTTCCCCATTAGGTTTCAGGGCCTGGGTCTTCAAAAGAAAATAGCGTTTCGGCCCTCACTTCTGCAAAGGCACAAAAACATGTCCATTCTCCCAACCACCTGAAATCTGCATTGGGTTCCTTTACCACGCAAATTCTGGAAGCCATGCTATCCACATCTGGTGGCTTCGGATGCTGAGCCCGGGTCGCTGAGAGGGAGTACATGAGGAAAATGAACCTCGGGAAGCCACCCAGCGCAAGGGGAACCACTAGACCCAATAAGAAACGCCAGATCCCCGCTAAGCAAACGAGCTTAAAAGTCATCAACAAGTGCCTTCTCCCGCTTCAAACGTCATCAACTAGTGAATTATCCCACTTAGGAGATCTGGCGATATGTGAAAAACACAAGCAAGAAATTTTGCGAGGTGCACATGTCCGAGGGTCGAGTGCGGGTGCTGATTGCTGCGGCAATATATCTGACAAGCCAACAAATCGTTGCACCAATAAGTCTGACAACCAACTTGAGAAGCACTGAGAGCATTACATGTGGGTCGACTTGGTAGCATATGCAGCCATGTTGGGTGGGAGCGTGCCATGAATTTGCGGATACTCCGCGCCTGTCCGGCGTGGTACTTGGGGCTGCCAGCAAACCTCTGTGCTTTGCCTTCTTTCACTGCAATGCTTATACGCCCCAACCCCAGCTGCTACGGCCTGGCGTTGTCTGAAGCTTCCGAAACTCTGGTCTTCACTTGTTCACCGAAAAAATGCAAACACGTCAGGCTTCTTACCCCCACCCTCCCTGAAGTTCGACCATGGCGGGTCAACCAAACAACCTCAGTATTGACAGCACAATTCATTAAGAGCAACCTCCGCCGCGCCACAGCATGCATGTGTCACTGATTCACGGAGTTGGGTCGCTCCCCTCGCCTCGCCGGTCGACACAAATGTGCAACGAGAGATATGGCGCGAAAAGTTTTTTGTTCAACCAAAATGAACAACACGATTCCCCACTTTCTGCATCTGCATCTCTTCCCCCGTTTTTGCGGCTCCTTGCGAAGCTTGCAGGGCTCGAGTACATCTTCCAAGGTATGTCCAACATCAAGTCCACAGCGTGCCCCTTCTGGACCTCATGCTTTCCAACCTCTTCGAAGCAATGGCTCCGAATCATCCAGGCACTGCTCAGCCGGGTCATCCCTGTCTCCAATGGCCCCAAATCATCCAAGCATTGCTCAACAGTCTGGAGCACGCCGGCAACATGGCGAGTCCAATCCACTGACGACTTGTTTGATGACAACAGGCAGCGACCTTCGCAGCCCCACCACGACTTTTTTGATGGCAACAGCCCTGTGAAGCCCAACCACCGAACCGGTCACGTCTTTCGTCGGGGCGGCCGGGTGTGTCTGGGCCCCCGCACCAGGAGACCCAGGACACCCTCCTGCTCTCAGCGGTGGTCACCAGGACGTAGAGCGAAAACACGCACAAGGCGCCCTGGCGAGCTGCGAGGAGGAGAACTTCTCTGCCCAGAGGCAGATCGGACCAGTGTCACCTTTGTTTTCGATGACACTTGCCCTGCAAATCTCCTTATGCGCTCTGGGGTGACATCCCCGCAAATGCTGCCTGGCATCATCTATGCTTGAGCGGCAAAACATCCACAAAGGCTTCAGCAAGTTGCCAAAATATGAGACAAGCCGAAAACGGCAGGATCTGCCACCAATCAGACCAATGGTCATACAGAGTCCCAAGCTCAGTACAAAGCGATGATTGCGCACTCCGTTTTCACACCGCCTGTGTGTATGTGGGCCTGAGGCTTACTAAAGCATGTTGAATGTTGCGTATGACTATGCTCCAAATGGTTGTCGCAGCGAAGGATTGATGACTGCTACTTCAAGTACTCAGAAGCCTGCCGCCACAGCTATCACAACAGAAGCCATCGTGATCAAGGCGCGCGACGACTGCGCTTTGACTTTGGACTCAAGTCAAACCCCTCGCAATATCAAGAAGGGAAGCAGGATTTCCCTGTGTGCAATGCAAGGCTTGCGACCCTCCGGCCCTGAGGAGCGCGTTTCGCAATCCGCCCGGCCTTGAACAAGATCAGCGCTTCCTGAGTAGATCTGCAAGCGACTTGACAGGGAGAATTCCTGTTTCTGGTAGGAGATTATCCCTTCATGGATGCCAAAGGGAATTCATCATTGAAAGAGCAAGACCATTCCAAGTGCCCAGGCATTCCTAAGCAAACCCAACAGACGCAACCATCACGGCACCGGCCGGGCATTTCACGCGCCAGAGAACATCCATCTCGATCAACCGATGAAAACTGCCCACCCCGGCCTTTGGCATCCGAGGCGGATTGGCGCTGAAGACCATCAACGTCTGCGCGGGGCAGAAGAAAGCGCAAGGCCCGGCGTCCATAGAATCAGATAAGAATTCTCGCTTGACCCAATCTCAAAAAGTCCGAGCCGCACACAAGTACACGAGACTATTTGCCGCACCCAACAAACAACTTTCTTTGTTCATACTTTGGGCAGCTTCTGTCTGTCCCCGCCACACCAGCCACGCAAAGAACACAGTGACAGCCAAGCATGGCTTTGGCATGGAAGAGCTTCATTGGGTCTGTCTTTGCTTGAGGATACCCTTTTTTTGGTGGTTTAAAGGGGAAACCAAAAGGATCCATTGGGGAGTCCCCTAAGCCTAAAAACCGCCACACCCCATTGATACTGTTTGCTTTGGACTTCCCAATGACCCGTCATTTGATAGATATAGTTAGTGTAGGTACTTCCCCTAGCTGCTACGCACCCTGCACGATGGCGGGCGCTGGGGATGAAGCCAAAGCAACCTTTCAGCTTTAGGGTCGACTGACTGCGAGGCTAAATCGTGTGGCATGTGCAAATAATGTTGCTTGCTCTTAACGCACAGAGACAGAGACAGAGACAGAAACAGACAGAGGCAGAGGCAGAGACAGACAGACAGACAAAGAGACAGAGAAACAAAAAAAAAGAAACAGAGAGACAGAGAGACAGAGAGACAGAGAGACAGAGAGACAGAGAGACAGAGAGACAGAGAGACAGAGAGACAGAGAGACAGAGAGACAGAGAGACAGAGAGACAGAGAGACAGAGAGACAGAGAGACAGAGAGACAGAGAGACAGAGAGACAGAGAGACAGAGAGACAGAGAGACAGAGAGACAGAGAGACAGAGAGACAGAGAGACAGAGAGACAGAGAGACAGAGAGACAGAGAGACAGAGAGACAGAGAGACAGAGAGACAGAGAGACAGAGAGACAGAGAGACAGAGAGACAGAGAGACAGAGAGACAGAGAGACAGAGAGACAGAGAGACAGAGAGACAGAGAGACAGAGAGACAGAGAGACAGAGAGACAGAGAGACAGAGAGACAGAGAGACGGAGAGACGAGACCGAGAGAAAGCACGCACGCACATTGAAGACACTGCCTGCACATATCGCACCCGTCGCACACACAGGCACAAACACACACACACACACACACACACACACACACACACACATGTGCACGCTCTGCACACCCTTTACACACTGTCCAAAGGGAGACCATGCGCATGGAATGCCGGGAAGTAACTGTAAACTGCAACGTGCGGTTCAGACCCACCACACACCCGGCTTTGGCTGATGTGGTGCCTCTGCCTCTGTGAAACGTCAGGATCACACACACACACACACACAACTGCACGAGCATCACGCAGAATGCATGCTGATGATGATGATGATGATGATGATGATGCTGATGGTGATGCTGATGCTGCTGATGATGTTGATGCTGCTGATGGTGTTTGCTGATGCTGGCGACAGCATGCTGATGATTAATGATGAAACTGATGCTGATAATGATGCTGATGATGCTAACGATGCTGGTGATGCTGATCATGCTGACAATGCCAATGATGCCGATGATGCTGATGATGCCAGCGATGCTTGTGATGGATGATGCTGACAGTGCTGATGATGCTAGTAATGATGATGATGACGCTGTGTCTGCTGTCCTGTCGAACTTGCCAGTAATAATTTCCATCAAACAATGTGTGGGGTCTGCGTATGTTCACCACTTGCAGTCTCACCCTACTGCTCCATGTCGACTCTACATGGCGCGGGACATCAGCTTCATCCTGTCCACTGCACTTGCAGTTCTCTGGGTCTCCACTTACACATTGCATGTTTTGCACTTTGAAAACCTGAGCCAAAGAAGAAAAGCTAGCAAAGCAAGTTATGCACTAGTTGTCCCCCTTGCAGCCCTCTGAGAAAGGCAACAACAGCTTTCACACACGACCCGCCTGGGCAAAGATGATGGCTGCAATGCCAACCATGGAGACACCAGCACCGTCCTCTGTGACCCGAACCCGAGATGCCATTTCAGCCTGAGGTTTACCAGCTCCAAGTCACCAACGTCGAAACGACTAGCATTCGGATCTCTCAAATGATAGATCGGCTGACAGGCTGCTCCAAATTGGTTTCACTGCTCGACTTGGGTATCCAGCTGGAACAAGAGCCGCTTGTTTGTTTGTGTTTCCTTTGCTTGTTTGTATCTGTGTGTGTGTGTGTGTGTTTGCTTGGTTGTAGGTTTGCTTGTTTGCTTGGTCTTTTGTGTGAGTGTTTCTTTGTTTCTGTGTTCCAGTGTTTGTGGGGTTTTGTGTGTGTGTGTGTGTGTGTGTGTGTGTGTGTGTCTGTGTTTGTTTCTGTCTCTTGCTTCGATTGTTTCTTTGTTTCTTTGCTTCTTTGCTTCTTTGTTTCGTTTTTGATACCTTTTTTGTTTTTGAGGGTGTCTTTTTTTTGGGATTGCGTCAAATACTGGAAAACAAGCAATTTCGGGTTTCTGTCTAGCTGGTGAAACAGTTGACTCCGCCTCAATCGCCCGCTGACATGAGCAACAGGCGAATGACTTGTTCCCCTCAATAGGCATGGCCAAAATTGAGCAGTCCCACAACATTTGCCCGGAAATTCGGGGCGTCATCTCCTGGCCAGATCAACAGTGCGCTCTGATTCAATCACACCATCACTTCGTGTGACACATGCTGCAAGTGTCTGAAATCACTTGGGCAAATGTCCTGCCGGGCCATCACTTCGTGTGACACATGCTGCAAGTGTCTGAAATTACTTGGGCAAATGTCCAGCCGGGTCAGCAGCCGCCCCTGCATCACTTTCAAAATGTCAACGAGCAAAGTGGGTTCCCAGAAAAGCTGCTGCTCTAACCTGGCAACTGTGGGAACTAGTCCTCATCGTACTTCAGCTTCATCTTGTGCGCACGCAGGATCAGGTACATGCCCACACATGCCTTTCGGAGGCGGAAAAATTGAATTGGTGAGCAGGCAAGTCTCAGTTTGCACTTTGCACTCCGAACGGAGACGCTCTCAACTGCAAAGCCGGCTCTTCTTGGTTGGACTTCACTAGCTGGACGGGTTGGTAAGTTGTAGCGTCGGTGCTGACCCCAGTAAAGATTCAGAGGGGCCACCACCAAGTCCCCCATTTGTGTTTTTTTCAGGGTAGCCTTCCGTCAATTGACGCGGAACCTGACAGGGGGGTCCTGGAAGACCATTTCCTTTTAAAGGGACTGGGTGCCTAACAGGTTCAAGCACCGGAACCTGTTGCCGAATGAGGCCGGTTACCATCCCAAACGCTCTGCCCCCTTCCAGCGTGGAGCCATGGCCATCAATGCACCCGCGGCCGGTGAGATCTACAGAAAGAACTGCCGATAGCCAGTCACGCAAACCTGGTCATGTTCCATCCCCAAGAGTGTTGCAGCTTTCCTCGACGAAGGAAAATGAAGTGTCCGAGCATTGGCAGGCTCATCAATGTTGACCCCTTCTGAAGGCCCATCTGTGGCCCGGAGCATCCTAGGCCTGCAGCACCAGCACTAGAAACATCCTCTTGGTTCTCAGGGAGCCGTGAGACGGCCGGCCCAAGACGCCTCCAAGATCGCAGGCAGAGACAAGGCCTTCGGGCCCTCGGCGAACGTACCGCGGATGGTTGCGAAATCCATTTCGCACTACCCAACAAACCCTGGTTTAGGCTGAGGCCCCTCACAATACGACCAGCCATCAAGCTGGACCCCTGCAAATGCCAACCAGCAATGGATTCAACCATGCGAAATAGATTTCGTCCACCGTAGCACCATCAAGCTGGACCCTTCCACAAGGAGAAATCTAAGAGTACATGAGAGGTTGACAAGTTGCTTGGTTTCGTGCGAATCCCAAGAGGCGGTCTCGCGTGAAGTATCCCGATGCATCCTCTCGCCCTCAGAATCAATGGCGCCTCTCAATGCTCCCTGAGCCCCGTGCCCCGCCCATGGCGGAAAGCGTTTGGATTGCTCTACAGGCCCAAGTGTGCTTGCACCCCTTGCCAGAACCCCTTGCTCAAGTGTGTTCACAAAGCATGATTTGGAGAGTTGCCACGCGGGCCATTTAACTTACACCAACGCTTACAGGTCCCTGGCTTCCACTTTCTTCCTGGCCGGAAAGCTTCAGTTCACGTCTCCAGGCTCTGCCTCCCTGAAAAGAGCTGCGGTGCAATGATCTGCCAAGGTGCCAGCGACAAGACTACGAATCACATGGCCAAGCTGTTCCACACCCTGATCAGCAAATCCACTAAAACCACAAAGCGTGCTCCCATGCTGCACAAATCCCGGGCCGGAGGCCCCCATCCAAAAACGCTGAGACGTGGCAGCCAAGGTCTGACGCTCGCAGCCCAACACGCCATTTTGGGCACGCGCCTATCGAGTCTTCTGGTCAACTGGACTGCATGACCAGGCTCCTCTCTCGGGCAAGAGGTAAGAAAATACCGCCAGCCACGCAGCGGTTTATCCCCAACCAATAGGTCGAGTGAGGGATCCTGGCCGTCTAAGCAACGCCGGACACCTGGCTCATTAGCCACAGGGTGGGCAATCGGCAATCTCTGCGTTGATCGACACATTGGTCTTTGAAAGCGACATTGCTCGAGAATGTTTCGGGAAAATGCACAACCAAACTATGTAAAAACTATGTAACAAAAACTAACAAACCATCTAATCTATCCAGCAAGAAAAGTTGCCCACCCTTAAGAACCGATATCCCTGTAGATCCTCGCGTCCCCGCCGAGGCCCTCAGTGTGCGAAAGATGGGACGGTCCAAAGCTTTCCGGGCCAAATGGCTTAAAGGGAAGCGATCCCAGAGGAAATTTTGAGAACTCCCAGTAGAATGCGTGATGCAAGGGCTTGGGAGCCCTTCTCGAAACAATGATTTGCCTGCAGGGCTTGATTCTTGCAGCAGTGGGGATATGAAACTCTGCGAAAAATTGGATAAACTCCTGCTGCAGGACTGTGTTCATCCGCAGCATTGCCTTTTTGCTTCTGCAATGTTGGAACAGAAGGTGTAGCAAAACCCAACAGGCTAAACATTGTCAAGTAGCTGAGGCGTCCCTCGCAAATGACCGCATAGACGTCAACGCCGGGAACGGAAAAGGCAAGAGAGCAAAGCAGCAAAAGACCAAGAAGGGCCAAAGGGCAGACCTGCCAATGGTTGATATCTTGTTCATGCGCAACCTCACAATGGAGGCGCACTGTGATGCCTTCTTTTACAAGTTGTGTCGCCGAAGCATCCAGCCACCAGCTTCTGTGACTCGGAGCCTGAATGGCCTCCCTCTTTGCGTTAAATGCAACAGCCATCCCACATCCCGGAAGGTCCACTACTTCATTCTCCTTTTCGGGAAACACCCTCTCCTTGGAAAAAAATGGCAAAGTCATGTCTCCCCTGTCTCACCCAGCCTGCGCCCATGCCCGAAGCTTGTCGTAGCCAACCACACCACAAAGGACCTGTCAGGCCAGAACCCAGGGGCGCCCAGACGCGAAGCCCGAAATTTCGAACAAATGCCTCGTGTCTTTTGTGTACACCTGCAGTCCCCAAGGAGGCATCTGCCCGGCTTCGCACGAGAACAACCCACGTGCCTCAAGCTGACATACCCAAGAGACTCTGAAACGCCACTTCATCCGTTGATCGGATTCGCACCCCGAACCCTGCCATTCACAGTGGGAAGAGATTCAGCATAGGCAATTCGTCCACCACAAAAACTAAGAGGAGAACTGCCTGCTGTAAGGCCAGCATGGTGTGGGACCTCGAATTTTCTGAGCCATCTTCAGGCCTGCCTGCAAAATGTCCTTGGGAACATTGCTTGGGGTCTGAGGGTCAGAGTCGGAGGGTCGGTCGCAGCACGCCAACCCTAGCAGGCCTACAGCAACCTCCTACGGCAAATCCAGACCCTGACCCGACATGAATCAGCGGTCAATGAGCCCCCAAATCCGACCGAACAGCCTGCGCCAAGCCCCAGTCGACGCAAAGATAGCCCAAAAGCCTTCCGTGCAACATCTCCAGCCAGGCAACCAGCTTCAGGTCAGGCCAGCCAAACAACCAACCACAAGACCACCCGCGCGCCGACCCACCGCACCAACCCACCAACCCGCCAGCCCACCAACCAACCCACCATTCAAAATGGGTGGCATGACGAATGCTTCGACCGGACTCAAAGCCCCCCCAGCCTTGCCGGTTTTGCGGTTAAAGAGGTAGGGGACGCCGCCACACTGGTTCCTCGCAGGCTCGCAGCTAGCAGAGTCATACAGCCAACTTCAAAACTTTGAAGTCCAAGCTCGTCAACAGGGCCCCAAACTCTGTGGACAACTTAGTCGCTCATCTAAGGCCAACAGCCATCAAAAAGGCGACAGTGTGCATTGTTCCATGGTCCGATCTGCAGGGGTTGAACATAGTGCGTGGGAGAGCAACCCCAACAGGAAACGTGTGCTTCGCTCTCCCCAACAAGGGTATGTGGGCTGCATTGATATGTAGGGCAACCAAGGGATCCGAAGAAGTGGCAAAGAGAGAGGCAAAGAGCGTCGCAATATCACCGAGAAAAGGGCAGCAATCTGACTCGCAAAGCCCTTCATGCACAACCCAAGCAGAGGCAGAGCAAGGCGTCTACTGATTGATATCGCCAGAAGACCCGCGGCTTCAAATCAAAATGAATGGCTCCGGAATCCAATCGTCCCATTTGACCTGATGCTTCCACTCCAGGGTCACTCCCTGTAAGCTTTGAAGCTGATCAGAGGAGTTCACATTCATCACATGGGTGTGCCTTGTTTTGGTGGGACCCCAAAAGCAGTGGTTTTCCTTTTGGTTTTCCCTTTTGAACCACAAACAAAGAGGTACCCTCAAAACATGACAGACCATATGGGTGTGGCTCAAAATTAAACAGGAGGGGCTACGCAGGTTTTGGTCCATGTTTCCCCTTACCAGGGTTCCATTTTGGTACCGGTTTTTTGAGCCACAGCCATATGGAGCTTCGTTCATTGGGGATCCCAGGGGCCCCGGGCCGCTTACTGAGCACATCTTCTTTGGCAGCGCCTGAGGTCGATGGTGGCACGGAGGCGCTCGTTCAGCGGATTGTCCCAGGCCTGCCGAGAAAGAGCAAGGGAAACCACCCAAGAGATTCCACCCAAGGGAAACCACCCAAGGGAAACCAGCCAAGGGAATCCACCCAAGGGAATTCACCCAAGAGAATTCACCCAAGCAAGGGAAACCACCCAAGGGAATCCACCCAAGGGAAACCACCCAAGGGAAACCACCCAAGGGAAACCACCAAGGGAAACCGCTCAACAGAATTCACCCGAGCTGAACCATAAAAAGCGACATGTCCTTTCTGGGAGGGTCAGAAGACGAGGAGCCATGATTGGAAAAAAGTGGGGTACACTCGAAGGCGAAGAACCCAAAGGTTTGCCAATCTCAACATGGGGGTCGATCAATATTCCGCTCCCGCACATTTTTTTCCGGGCGGTTGAAACATCATGTTTTCAGCGGTTTCCTCCAATGGTCATCCCATGTCTTAGGGACCTTTTGGTCAACCCCCAACCACGACTCTTCCGCAGATCCCGGCTGCCGGTCCATCGCCCTCGCGGCCTCCAACCACACAATGTGGACCCCGGGAATCTCCTGGGCGAAGTCACACAGAGAGATCCTGCTGTTGCATCCCTGGTGTTCCTCAAAAATAACGATGAAGATAAGGGTTGCTCAACAAACGACCCTGAAACAAGCCTCTAGAACTAGAAAGGTCTTTCTGACCTGAACGCAACCCTGCAAACTGAAGGAAGTGACTGGCCGCGCCAAATTCATGCACCCGCCCTATCACAATCGAGAAAAAATGAACGCTCCCCCACGCCTTCTATATCACTCTCACCCCGCCTTCTCTAGCAGGTCGCCTAAGTACTTCATCCGCTTCGCCTGCGCGGTTCAATACATCGCCCCAGGAGAAACTCGATTGCCCCAAAGTTGATCAAACACAAGGAGCAGATCATGGCTCTAGACATTCCACCCCGAAAAAGTAAGAACATCAAAAAATGGCAAAGGCATTCATTTATCCAGGGATTCCCCATTCTTTTCAACCATCATTCTTTTCAAAAACCAGCTATCCTCCCCGGGTTTCCAGAGGTTTTCTAGAAAGAAGGATTCCTGGAAAGAATGGACATGAAAGGTACCCCCAGAATTTCTGTGTCTCCTCTGTAAAAGAGGGACCCTTCCAAGAACTCCAAGGCTCGTTCGCTCCTCCATGGACTGGTCGGCGTAGAAGCCGATCAAATGCGGCTTCCTCGACATCTCAGGTGGGGCCCAAAGGGGTCCAAGGGACTCCTGAGGCCTGAGGCTTAGAAAAACAAGGTCTCGTTGAGAGCTTCCCAAAAAGGTTGGAGGGTAAGAAAACAAGGAAGGGTAAAAAAACAAATACACGAGGGGTGAACGAAAAGGGAGCCCGTCAAAAAAAGAAAACGCGAAAAACCAGACAGCACCTCCCAGATCCCCAACCCTGCCACCTGCCAGCTGCCACCCTAGCCCAAGCCCCCGCAACCCGACGGCCCCAAGGCATCCAAAGTCCAAGTTGGAAATTGAGCAGGGATCCTTACATGGACCAAGGCACACCTCCACGCTCACCAGCAAATTTGGGCCAGGGATGCGGATGCATGAAAAACACCGATCGAACATTGCAACTTGTTTTCTGGTGGTGTCCAACTTTACTTTGGTGTTGGAAAAGCAACATGTTTCAAATGGTGGCAAAATGGAGATCTTTTAAGGAGCCCTGTTGAGGAAAGCTCGATGCAAAGACTCGGTTTCTTCCGAAAGCCGCCTAGATGGGCATGGGTCAAAATTAAACCACCAGGATATGGACCGCAGGTTTTAGTCTATACTACAACTTACCAGGGTTCAATTTTGGGGTTACCCTATTTTTGACCCACAGTCCAATGAATTCCCATCCGTCATTGCACCAGCATCACGCTCAGGCTCCCGGGCCCTGCTAGTTCAGGTTCTGGGAGCACCGTGCGCAGCGCCGTTGCAGCAACCTGCCCACAGAAGTCTCACTGCTCCGCCCAGATCCCTTATCCATCCCACCAGTGCACAAAGCCCCTTTAATGTCAGATCCAGTCAAACACACATGAAAAATCCCTCGTGGTTGCATCCTGACGAGGCCAGAGGGAACCCTTTGTGACATTGAGCCGCATTGAACAAAATGCCGCTTTCACAAACGCGCAAGGAGTGATGGCCACGTTGCTCACTGTCGGAATTGCGCTAGGCTGCAAGGTATGACCGATGATTGGACAGCCGGCACTCCAACTGCTCCAGCTGTCGGATTGGAGGTCCCCGGTTCATGACCAAAGTCGTGCACTGCCCACGGCATCCTTGAAGACATCAGAAACAGTATTGTTCGCTACAGGAATCGATTGTGATTCGTGCTTCTGCCTGCTGTGGCTCTTCTGCAACATTCAGTGAAGAGAGGGTGCATTCCAAATGGGTATGTGTCAAAACAAAGGAGCTTCCAAAAGGGTGTTTGGCTTCCTTTTGGTTTCCCTTGCGCACACACACACACACACAGACAGCCGCATATGTTCAGCCCACCTTGCCGACGGCCAGCGACCTGGCAACGGCCAGCTCCGGGGGGAAGTTTGCCCTAAGAATCTTGACTGTCTAAAATCGTTGCATTGACCATCCTTATTTCTAACAGTTCATTCCCCATTCTTTTAAACCATTTTTCTTTTCAAAAACCGGCCGTTTCCCTGGGATTCTGGAGGTTTTCTAGAAAGACGGAGCCCTGGAAAGAATGGAAATGGAAGGTAGCACTAGATTTGTTCAATCAATCCTTGGAGCAAGGGCCTGATTCGAGGACCTGGTCACACCTAAACACACAATTGATCGTAGCCCGCCCGCTTCTGTCGCATGGTTTGCCACATTCAATGGCCATGGCAAGGAAGGGGAATGACTTTCGGGTCCCGAGAGCGCTGCGAGAGCTTGCGAACCCGCAACATGAGATATGAAATGACCAAACATCTCGCCTCATGGGATGGGATGGCTTGTGAAAATGCCCGAATCTCAAAGAATGACATGGAAAATCATAGACTTTGGAAGAACCTTGCAGAAGTGACAATCACGCTTCACTCGCGAGATACATCGCCCGATGCACAAGCCCGCCTGCAGGAAAGCGAGCAAGTCAACACCGAGCATGCGGCAAGCAGCGCTGCGAGAACCTGAAAGCATGGCGATGGGCACCCGTCTCATGCGACAGCTACGCTCCGAAACCAAAAACCGTGGTACTCGATCCAGCTGGAGGGCTCCCAAGCGGCAAAGTCCGGGGCCCCCTGCGCAACCGGGCCTTGCCTGAAGCAGAGGCTAAGCGCAAAACGTGCTGGGAATCAAATGAAATGCTGACAGCTCATGAGGGAAAAAGGAAAAAACAAAACATTCAACAAACGGTTCCAGAGGACAAAGCAAGGATTCAATGCCGTATTCTAAGGACCGCTGTACCTTACTCCATTCACCAAAAAAAAAAAGGAGAACAGGCCTCTGAAAGGCCGCTGAAACGGATATGGGACAAAAGCGAACTCGATACATGCCGGCGGCACGGATATCCGCACGCCCATGGCTCCACCAAAACGAACCTCTGAAGCTGTAAGCCAAGCAAAGCTCCAAAAGGCCTCCTGACCGCACGCCACACCTGAATTTCTGAGAGATGGCTGTCCCAAACCCAGCATGCAATATGAGTGTTGCAGAGTTTGCAAAATTCCCAACACATCCAACAAGCGTGAATAAGTGAACTTGACAAATAAGTCCATCATTTCACTCAAAACCCGCACAGCCCAAGGGAATAGCTGCAGCCCCATCTTTCAGACTGGTTTTGTCACAAAGTGCACTAAGCGGTCCGGATGTCCTTTAGGAAGCTTACACTGCTCCAACCGCGACATTCCAGAACCCGTCAAAGCCAGCAAGTGGTTTCCTTTTTATCCGGGTTACTGCTCCGACTTCGACAAGGCAATATTCACTAGTCCTCGACGGAAAGGAGCATGGAGTCGCTTAAAAGCTTGTGGCGGACCAAAAGTAGCCTGGTGTTCAAGGAGCGAAGAGTCTTTGGAGAATGGCCTGGGTGGGCGTAAGAAACGACGCAAATGCGCATGTGCCTGAGCAAAGAGAAGCTCGATAGAACATTGGTCGTTGGAAGGGGGGAGCACTCTGTGAAAACACGATTTGGTGCCGGGGATTTGTCGGGTACGGAACTGCAAGGTACTATAATGTGTTTGTTCGGGATTTGTTTATGTCTTAGAAAGGGGGGACTAAAGCCTTTGCAGCTCCAGTATCTTGGGAGATTCTGGTATCAGAAAGGTGGGTCCGGGCATGAGCCAAAAACATCTGGTGGAGTGCGGGAAATTGGTTTGCAGCTACAGGCAGCTTAAGCACCCCAAGGCAACAGCCACTGATATTGACATGCAGACCAGAACATCAAGGATGCCAGTCTTGCCTAGCACTCTACCTCCTTTTGCCATCCATGGAGAACCTCGGAGCTGGCATTCCTCCAGTTCAAGATGGGGATGACAGGCCGCAGACTCCAATAGCAACTACTGAGAACACACAGTGGCGACACTTTCGCGCTCCGCTCTGGAATGGAAACAGTTGCTGTTTTGAAGCGCGCCTTTGCAGGCCACGACCAGATGGGTCAAGGTTGGTCTAGCAGAACCACCTCGTTTCTGGTTGGTGGACCAATGTCTAATGTCCACACAGAGTCCCTAACTGAAGTCCATGCCCAAATACTAACTGACATGCAGTGTTGACCTTCTGGTTTATCATCCTGGCCACTTTGAAATGAGTCCCTGGCAGGAACACATTCAAGTAGGGATGAATGCCCGCCAACCTTTTTTCACGGAGTTCCAACTCTTAAGTCATAACCACTTTTGCAAGTCTCCCTAGCGGAGTTGATCTGGTTGTAAATGAGCTGCAACGTTGGTGGCTAACCACTAATTTGGCATTACACAGATGGTCATTCAAGTCAAAAAATAGAACACTGATATGAAAGAAGGGACACGGCAATAGGGGATTCAAATCATATTACGGCATACCTCCTTCTCCGATTGAAAAAAAACAATCAAAAAAAATGAAAACAGTGTTACTGTCAAAAGTATTGAACAATGATTAATTTAATCATGCAAAATGACTAAAAACACAATGTTTTCAACCACTTGGCATTTTCAGCCCGAAATCTTCAAAACTGTCTTTATCAGTTGTTTTTTGACTGCTTTCTATTTTGGACTACTTTCTTCAAAGTCAGGCGACGTTTCAATGCCACTATCTTTGATCATTTTGTCCAACCGTGTCTGTGCGGTTACAATACGCCCTTGTGTTTCTTCCAGTGTCGAGTCATCGGCATTTTGTCTGTGATCATTACTATGATGTTATATGTAACATCTATTGAAGTGAGTTTCTCTTGGTTTAAACTAATAGTAAATCGTTGACAAAAATGCACCTAAAGAAAAACTTATGTTGCGTTAAGACCTGTTGCACTGCTCCTAGCTTGAACCCAAACAACCCTCACAAAACGAAACCCACGAAGCGAGAAGAGCGCGCATTCCTTTTTAACCGGGTTGGTGGAAAGTGCACTGCTTCCGGTGCACCCAGAGCAGGGGGCATGTTCACCCCTCCTTCAGTGTTTCCCACGCGTTAGAGGGAACAAGCAATACAAAACACAAGCCAGACCGACCCAATCGTTCCGCTCCTTTTTTATTAGGCGCTGCTCAGAAGTCCAGGCTCGGGGATGCAGGAGGGATGACAAAGCGTGTCCATCCCCTTCACCTGCATCCCCATGCGGAGCCTGCACAGATACCCCCAAACTTAACAACGCGTGTTCAACGTGTTGCCCAGGGGAGTGAAACAACACTGGAGGTATTCTGGCACATCAAGAAGCAATGCGTGTGACTGGTGTGCGAGATTGAGGAAAGCGTCCTCCAATGATAGGACCCACAGCTGGTCCTGTAAGGTTGCGTCCCACACGAAGCAAAGCGTGCTCTCGTGAGGGGTGCTGAGGAATGCGTCCTCACTTATCGGACTGAGTCCGGAACAGATGCCGGAGGAATGCGTCCTCGCACGTGTCCGGCAAAAAGGCCAAACTCAGCAGAATATGCACGCTGGCACAATGTGCGAATGGAACGCAAGTCCTATTAAAGCTTGCGAGCCTTGCACATCAAGGTTTTTCACCTGAGCTTTGATAGGGCGGGTGGGTGGGCTCAAAAAAGGAAAGAGGGATCAAAACCCCTTCTCCTATTAAAGCGGTGCAGTCACCTCCCTTTTAAGACTCTGTTCTCTGTGCCTCTACGTCTCTACATCCGACAGCTCCGCCCGCCACTCACTGACGAGCTTCTCCGTGCTGGATTGGGGCGGCGAGCCCCCATAATCTACGACCAAGTCCCAATATTCCCACCGCCCGCGCCACGCCCGATCACTCTCAAACCAGCGCAGGGCAAGCTCTGCGGGCGCGCGTGGCCTTGGCAGACGTAGCTCACCTCTTTGAGGACTCCTTCAGGTATTAGAGGCTCTCTTCGAGGTCTTCGACTTTCGCCTCCGAGTCCCATGCGGTCGCGCTGGTGCAAGCGCTCGGCCTCAAGCAGCGCATCCTCGCGAGGCCGCTTGGTGGGAGGCCGCTGGGCCATCAGAGCGGCCGCAAGGCAGGGAGCGTCCTCGTCCACCCACGCGGCAGGCTTTTCCAGAAGCCATGCCTGCACGCATCGGAAGGCCTTGCAGGAAGTCATGATAGCTTAAAGTGGCTGCGCGGGTTTTTTTTAGACCATTTGAGCATTTGGGACCATTTGAGCATTCGGCGTACTTTTTTCTTCTCTGTTCTCTTCCTCGAGGATCTCGATGCGGCGTTCCAGCTGCCAGCGGATGTTGCTGCGCTCCAGCTCCTCAAGCTCATCAACGCGCACCTCCGCCAGCACCGCTCGCTCGCGAAGATCTTCGTTCTCTTCCTCGAGGAACTTGATGCGGCGGTCCAGCCGCCACAGCGTATAGTTTCACTGGCGACATCCTCCTCAAGCTCATCAACGCGCGCCTCCGCCCACACCGCTCGCTCACGCTCTTCCCCGATGATCTCGATGCGGTGGCCCAGCTGCCAGCGGAGAATCATCATGCTGCGCTCCCGCTCCTCACAGCGCATAGTTTCACCGATGAGCTTGGGGAAGTGCCTCTTAAGAGAGAGCTTGCCCTGTTGGGTGTGAGGGCTGTTTTTCCAACCTTTTCCTGCAAAGTAAATTAATTGCGCCAATCTCATGCTGGCGCTGAGAACCCGAGTTTCGGCGGGGACTCCCCTCACAGTTCCGGACCGGTCCGGAACTTTGAGGAGAGGCCCTGACCAAACTCGCGCTCTCAGCGCTAGCGTGAGATAAGGCGCAATCAATTTCATTTTCTGGAAAGGGTTTGGAGTTGTGTTTGGCCCTGCGCTTGATGTTGCGCAGAGCAATCTCTGCCATTTCGGGGTCTGAGTAGGCGAGGTTCGGCGCCACCTGCGTGGTAGCGTGCTTCCTTCCGTTGATTTGGTTCAAGATGTCAGGCAGAATGAGGCCGCCGGCCCGCTCCGGCTGCTATGCGACGCAACATGGCCTCCTTGATGGTGCGGATGGCGCGCTCTGCGAAGTAGGCGTGGCCCCTGGTCACCTGCTTCTCGATGTCCCAGAAATCCATCAGCTCCTTGAACTCCCTCTTAAACTTGGAGCCGTCGTCGGAGTACACGTTGGCCGGCACCCCCAGGGCTTGGAACACCTTCTTCATGCCCGCTGCGGCGGTGGTCGCAAGACGGTCCGCGGCCACTTTTTTGGTCAGCGCATCGATGGCCACCAGCATGAAGGGGTAGGGCTTGCCGCCATGTCTGCCAGGTCCACCTGGTTCATGGGCTTGAGAGGCACGAAGCGTTGTAGCCTCTCTGCAGTCAGTCCTGGTTCACCCGGAGACTGTCCAGAACGCCTTCACTTCCTTTCTGGAGATGCTGTCGCGCACCTGAGCCTGCCGCAGCGTCTGCGCCAGGCTGCCGAAGCCTGTGCGGGGAGCCTTGTAGACGGCCTTGATGGTTCCTCCAGCCGGCCCTGGAAGTCCTTGCACACCCCGTAGAGCATGCTGGTGAGGTCGAGTAGTCGAGCGTGATCATCTCGGCGCCGTCCCACCTGGGGTGCCCATCAGGTTCTTCCACTTCGTTCCTGCGAAGTCGTTTGAGGCGAAGCCCAGCCTCAGGTCCTCATTCATGTCCGGGCGTTTACTGCTTGGCCTCGGAGTCGAACAGCTGCTGCAGCTCTGGGACGACTTCCTGGCGCCTCCGCGGCCCAGGACCCTCGACTAGCCTTCTTTGCAAAAATACTGGTTTTTAGGCATTGCTAGGCCTTCTCGGCGGGGGAATTCCCGGAGCCTGCCGAAGCCGGTTTGGGCGGACCAGTATCAAACAAACGGGGCTGGCGTGGGCAAACCGTGCAAAAGCTATTCCTCTAGTGCCTAATTTAGGTAAGCACTGGAGGAATAGCATTTTGTGGCCCAAAACCGTGCAAATGTCCCTGGGTTAGGGTTTGGGTATCAAACTCCAACGCGTTGGGCGAACCAGTATCAAACCATGGCAGTGAGTCCGAGGGTTGTTGGGGTCCTTATAGGAACCTATAGGAACCTA